GGATATCGAGAGAGAAGGATGACGAAATCCGTAAAGTGTACTCATTTTTGAGGTTGCAATAAAATAAAATATTTTTTATGCCCGCGCGTAGAGAATTTAACTTTCAAGCTGAATTTAGACCATAAATAAATATAGAATATTATTGCAAATTTCAGCTTTTGCAACTTGGTCAAGTTCCCAAAAACGCCATTTCACTACAAATATCTTCTAAGTGCTCCGAGATAAGGCATAGATGCAAATTGAAACTCCATTTACGCATACAGATTTTTCAAATGGGCGACAAAAATTCTAACAGAACTACAGTTACTGCTTTCTCGCTAGTTTTCGAAATGGCACGATACAACTGCGAACTCTAATGTGACTTTACTCATGACGCAAACATACTCGATAGCTGAATTTATGCGGATTTAGCTTTTGCACAGACCCTTGCAACGTTTCAGTTTTTTATATCCATCGGTCCCTGGAACAATTTTCATCTTTCTTTTAGGGCTTTGCCGTGTAAGACCTAGACGTGCACGAGAGTTTATTTTAACTCTCGAAGGCATGCCCATCTCAAGCCCCACCCGTTTGGGAGAGAGGGGAGCGGATGGGGCTTGAGAGGAGCATGAGAAGTTTGGGGAAAGGCAGGGCTTGAAGGAAACGGAGTCCTCCCTTCTCAAACCCCGCCCGCTCCCTCTCCCTCTCCAAACCCCACCCGCTCCCTCTCCCTTCCCACACCGCACCCACTTCTACAGAACGAGCCACTTCTTCAAGTGCCACATAAATGGATGTTTGTTTTCCCGCCACTACACTTGCTATTAGGCGATGTCCATAGCTTCCATCTAGCTTACTCCCGATTTCAATTTTTTTCGCATAGCCGCTATGATGTTCTTGCACTTTACTTATCTGACGGAGCATCCAACTGTTTGCATGACTAGGAAGAAACACTCGGATCGTTCGTTCCACTTTTTTCCCTGCCACAAACAGCATTCGTTCTTCATGATTCATTAGTGACCACCTCTGGCATCCATGCGCCACTGTTTTCAGCACAAAGGTATCCCAGAAATAGGCATAGTTCTTCAGTTTAAGGATATGACGACATTATAAAACGTGCACAAGCTAGCACGCATTCTGTGTACAACCTGCGGTCAGAAATTGTAGCGCTTATCTACTTTCTAATCAGAATGAACGTGATGTGCAGGGCAATTGGTAATTAATAAAGTAACTGGTAATCGATAAAATAATTAATAAATTAATAGCTGGTAATTAATAAATGACTCGGAAACCGTCAAAGAGATGGCGCATATATATTCA